CATCTGCCCTCTCACGATAAGTAAATGAGTTGATCAACCTTTGCGTAGATTTTTACAAGTAATTATCTAATTCAAGTCTTGATTTAAAAAAAAGGAATTATATTTCTAGTAAAGAAGATAAATTTCATCACCGATATTCACACGTTTTAAATTATTCAAGCGATGTGAAATCATAAGTTCGAACGAGATATCCGCCCGTTTTCTTTTATTCAGAATGATATTCCTTTTTGTCATAATATGTAGGTCAGATTTCAAAAGCAGTTATATCATACTATACAAGTACTTATGATAAATATAGATAATTGCTCATACTGAATATATAATCATATTTTCGATTGCTGGCATGGTAAGCAGTGTATATTTATTTATTGGAATAGAAAACGAATATTATCTTCAGCGGTGACTAAATAAAAATACTCGTGATTAATCTAAGTGGATATTCAATAATTAAGTAGATATATGAATAAAAGAAGTTCTAGAACATCTAATATACTTCAACGAAATGAATGCAATGTCTTGTATTTAACATATTAGATAGAAAGGAGTAAGAACGATGTAAAGGAGAGAGAGAGAGAGAGAGAGAGAGAGAGAGAGAGAAGAGAGAGAGAGAGAGAGAGAGAGAGAGAGAGAGAGAGAGAGAGAGAGAGAGAGAGAGGAGAGAGAGGAGAGGGAGGGAGGAGGAGAGGGAGAGGGAGAGGGGAGAGGGAGAGGAGAGGGAGAGGGAGAGGGAGAGAGAGAGAGAGAGAGAGAGAGAGAGAGAGAGAGAGAGAGAGAGAGAGAGAGAGAGAGAGAGAGAGAGAGAGAGAGAGAGAGAGAGAGAGAGAGAGAGAGAGAGAGAGAGAGAGAGAGAGAGAGAGAGAGACAGAGAGAGAGAGAGAGAGAGAGAGAGAAAAGGTTACATCTCAAAAGGATGTGGTAACGTAGGTTATCCTCACCCTTATCTTGATAAGTCCCTGTGTGGGCTCACAGTTCTCATACGAATATTTAGGTGTATTACCAGGTAACAACATAAAATATAAAAACAAAAATATTGAGAGTCATGGTCTATAAAAGAGAAAGTTCGTGCACACACTCACTGATGAGCTGTGAGGCACCGTAGGCGACCCGTGTGTGGAGCTGTTATTTGCGAAGGACAGGCACTCAGGCCATCCCTGGTCAGGTCAACTGTTCTTTGTCGTATATATTTTGTGAAATCCGCTATCTGAAGTCTAGACAATAATGCTATAAGGCTCCACTATGCATTACCTTGCCTTTCCATTCTTCCAGCATATCATTAAGCTTTACCAAGTTTTGTTCAATTTCCCATCGATCCAAGAGTTTTTCTTTTTCGTGATCGATGTACTCCACACTTGCTGTTATTTTTCTTTCCTTGCCTTTAATAACTATCTCACTTTCTGAATCTTGCTCTTTTCTGTGTCTTTAGTCGGAGTTTCTTTCATTGCCTCATCCCCCTCTTTCTGTTTTTTTCCGTTTCTTCGCTGGGAACCTGGGCCAGTTTCCTTTCGATAGCGTCCATTCTCTGCATCAGCGTCTGGAACACCCTGATAATTACGGATATTTCCTTAGAAAAATCCGCACCACTACTCCGCGGCACTTCCTTCACTTTCTGAACCTGTCTGTCCTGCCCGTCATCACAAGTCATTGGCGACGGCACCACCCGCGGTGGGCCCTGCACGCAGGCATTAGGGACTGCAGCTGTCTTTTCCCTCGGCACCTCTGGCCGCGTGGTAACCGGCCTTTTTCCATTTTCTCCTTCCTTGGGGACCGCCGAAGCAATCTTGATTTGTGGTCTCACCCTGCATGCAGGAGACCCGGCATTGTGGCGGCCTCCGCAGTTGCAGCAGCAAGGCGTAACCCTTTCTCCCCTTTCAATCTTGTCCCGGCAGACCCTTGAGTCATGTGTCCTGCCACAGAACCTGCATCGAGCATCCTGTTGACAGGGCCACGACTTGTGTCCCCATCTGTAGCACTTGAGGCACATGACTGGCGGCTCCACATACGGTGCCACCCTCCTGTACCCCGCTCTAGAGATAAATACCTTCTATGGCACTTCCCCCTTCACAAGGGCAACGAGCTGACTCCGCTCCTCGCCCCTGGACGTGTGCCGCCTTACCCACACAAATCTATCGTCGTCCAGTAGGAAGTCCGGGTCTAATATCGTGGGATATCGGAAAATTATCACCTTGGTGAACTTTTCCCCAGCCTTTGGGACAGTCATCACTGTCCCCTTGTATCCCTGAGTCGTCAGCGTCTGCACCGCCTGGCCTGCCCGCACCGTGAGATACGGCCTTCCTTTTCCTTCCTTCATCACTGGCTCGAAATCAGCGTGGTCCCGGCCCAGTTGCATGGCCCACCTTAATTTTTCTAAGAAAACTCATGGCGCAGTCCTGTGGAAATAGCAGTCTTTTCCTGTCGTTCACACCGACAACATTCTGGGCTGCTGCTTCGTTTCCGTCGTTCTTCTTCCTCTTCTCACGCTCGCATCCATTCTCGTCACTCATGTCTACGCTTCCATCACTTCTTACCCTCTTATGGGATCCACTTCCACTAGCAACACTAGTCATGCTGATACCTTGGGAGGAGATGACCCGCTCCCTGTCCGAGGTCAGATAGGGGCGGGTAAACACAGGATTCGGGGACCTGACGTCTGAGGACAGTACTGTAAACACGTCCTAGTCCTACGAGAGATACACCACCACTGGAGAGAGAGAGAGAGAGAGAGAGAGAGAGAGAGAGAGAGAGAGAGAGAGAGAGAGAGAGAGAGAGAGAGAGAGAGAGAGAGAGAGAGAGAGAGAGATTGTTGCAGATTAAATAAATTCGATTAACATTATTATCGTTATTATCATTATTGTTATAATTATTTTTATCATTACAATTATTTTTACCATTACTTTTATTATCACTATACTTATCACCGTTACAATATCATTAACTTAATTAATACTATTACAATCATTATCCTTATTATTGTTGTTATCATTACTATTATCATCATCAGCATTAGTATTATTATCATTGTCATTATCATTATAGCTATCATTACTGTTATTATTACTATCATTATCATTATTATTACTATTATTATCAATATTATTATTATCATTATAATTACCATTATTGTTATTATCATTATTTATATATTATATTATCATCAATCATTATCATTATCATCATCATTATTGTTATCATTATCATCATTATTATTATTATCACTATCATTATTATTATTATTATTATCATTATTATTATTATTATTATTATTATTATTATTATTATTATTATTATTATTATTATTATTATTATTATCATCATTATTATCATCATTATCACCATCATTATTATTACTATTATCATCATTATTATTATTTTCATCATTATTTTTATCATTATTAATGTTATTGTTATTATTATCATCATAACTATTATCATTACCACTATTGTTATTATTATCATTATCATTTTATCATTGTTGTCATTACTGTTATCATCCTTATCGCAACCATTATTATTTTCATTAATATTATTATCATTATCATTATTATTATTATTATTATTATTATTATTATTATTATTATTATTAGCATTACTATTATTATTATTATTGTAACTATTGTTATCATTATTATTATTATTAACATTAGCATTACTATCATTGTTATTGTTAATATCAATATCATTATCATTACTATTATCATTATCATTTTTATTACTACTAGTATTGTTTTCATTATCATTATCATTATTTTTTATTATCATTGTTATTATTGTTATCATTATCATCATTATCGTCATCACTATTACTAATATTTCTATTATTATTATTATCATCATTATTGTTATGGTTATTTTAGTTATCCTTATTATTGTTATCATCATTATTATTATTTGTAGTAGTAATAGTAGTATCATTATTACTATTCTTTTAATCATTATTATTATTATCATTTTTATTATCAGTGTTATTATCATCATTATCACTATTATCATTACTATTATTATTTTGATAATGATGATAATGATAATCATCATCATCATCATCATCATGTACAAGGGGTACTTAGGGGTGCGAGGCTTGGGTCATTAGCCAAAATACAGACAAAGAAATATGGTTTGTCAGCGGTGTTTGGGAAGGGAAAGTTGTATCATGATGTATGGAGTTTATTGTGTTATCTCTTCCCTTTCTCGTTTCAGGTCTGTAAACGCACATACACAGACGCAGATACTCATATACTAACACACATACATACACATACATACGCACACACACACACATACACATACACATATACACACACACACATACACATACACATATACACACACACACATACACATACACATATAAACACACACACACATACACATACACATATACACACACACATACACACACAGATAAAAAACAAAAACATTTATTTCTGTCTATGTCACTCTAAAGAAAGAAAAGGAGAAAGAAGAAGAAATAGTATAGATGGATAAGAATAAGGAAAAAAATGGCGTAGATGGGTTTATATGCAATTATTCTCTCTTCCCTTTTATTTCTTCCTTACTGTTTACTTTTTTTCTAAGATTTCGTCTCGTGGTTCTGATAGCCTCATTCAGTCGTGGTGTGAGTTGCAAGGAGATATTTCTGGACAAATGATGTCACTGGAAGGTTAATAAATGTATAGATAAAGGAAAAGCCATTAACAATTAAAGGTAAAAATAATTACTTATTTTCTTTTCTTTCGAGACTTTCCACAAATTACTCTCGAAATACACAATGGCCATCTTTACAAGTCTTTCTCTTTTTCTCATTTCTCCATCTTCCTCTTTCTCTATCATTATCAAATTCTCTTCTCATCTTATTTCTCTGGTGTACTTCCTCCCTCCCCCCCATCATCCCACTCCATCTCTCTGTCTGTTTGTCTCTTCCATTTCCCCTTTTCTTTCCTTGTGTTCTTTTTCCTTCTTTTATTCACTTTATCTTTCTACTTTCTTTAGTTTTCTTGTTCTTCACG